GAAATGGAAAGTTCCTTGAAGGAAGAGATTGAGGTTGGGGGAGCCTGTTAAACCACGTCAAGGCTAAACCCTTCAAAGTGATGGCAAAGGCTCGACAGCGTATGGGGTCCTGGTACCCGTGCAATTCCATCTGGTTCTTATAAGTATTTAGGTGATCCATGGGATCCCTGGTTCCATCAAAGGACTCTATCTGTGGTATCCTAAACTTTGGTGAGAGGGGAAAATGCAACACCCCAAGTATGAATGGAGATTTAGTCTGCTGCACCAAGGCGTCCATTGTAACTAGAGCTTTACTTCTGACCGCTTCCTTCATGTGGCTAAGCTCCTGTTGGATGCCCTTGAAGCGTTGCTCCCAATACTGTTCCCTTTTCTCCTGCTGATAAGGGAAGACATCATTCTTTTCACCTTAATGGTTTTGACTTTGTACTTCTTCATTGTGGCCATTCCTAGAGGTAGTTGGAGAATCTGCTCCAAGGTCTAGCTATTTTTCCCTCCTTCGTTGTCTTCTCCGAGTAGATCTAGGTGTTGTTGATTCTTGCGACGGGGATTGCTCTGACCTTCTTGGGCAGGACGTGCCTCATGTGGGCGCTCTAAGAGCTTCAAGAGCTCTTCGTTTTGCTTTATCAAGCGTTGATTGATAAGGCGAATGGCCTCCATCTCGTTATTCGTGGGAGGATTCCCCATGGGAGGATCAATCTCTAGGACGTTCTCAAGCTGTCTGCCATTGGTGGCTCCCTGTTGGTCCTACATCCGAGGTGGGTTTGTTTGGCTTCTGCTCATGTTTCGTGTTGATACCATCAGTCACTGAAATATCAGCTTATTTGTAACAGGAACAGTCGTTCCCATAGACGGCGCCAAACTGATGGTGCTGATTAATGTGGGTGAACAGAGTGCGTGGGACCAGCGATAAATTTAGGCTGCCAACTTCATAATGACAGTGATGAAGAGTTTTATACGGGATAGGGGAATTTGCACAGCAGGAATATAGTGGTTTATCGGCTCTAGAACTCGGCTAATCCACTCTCTAATGGAGGCTACTGCTCCTCTTCTTTCTATTGACTACTTGACTGTTTTACAATACAACGCATGATCTAATTAGGGTTCTTCTAGGGTCCTACCTCTTGATGAGGTGTTACATAGTACTTATAAGGCTGCTCCCTATTCCGTGGGATTTCAGTCGAGATCTTTGCCCATTATTCATGGGATCCTCCTTGATTTTAAGAGAGAATCTTGGTTGGTTGAGAGTTTCATACATTGAGCCCAATTTCCGCAGTCATCCAGCTGTTTCCTGGTTGGTTCTGCTACGATCTCCCCAAGGGGAGCTTTACCCCTGGTTCTCTGAATTTTTTGTGTCTTTTTTGACCTCCTGACTTGAGTTCACAACTAAAGGCTTGTTTGAAATATCATAAGGATTAACTACGATACCCAAAAAAAAAAATTTGCGCCATATCACCTATTATCAGGGGCAGAACTAGCCTTTGGCCTAAGGGGGGCCCTGCACATTTGCCAACGCCTACATATAAACGTATAAGCTGTTAAGTACACCAACAGTTATTCAAGGTCCATCAACTTTTATCTCTACGAAGTCTTCTCTCATAATTTTTAGGTATTGCCCACTTCAATTTTTTATTAAAATATTATCTTTTAATATGGACTTGCAATAAAATGTTATAGACTTTGCAAATTCATCCCTAAAGATCCTAGAATACAAAACCTAATAATCCCTTTACCCGTACAAATAGCACAATAGACGCAATAGAAAACAAATCAATGTTTTAGAATTCAACAATTACTTTTTCTTTTCAAGATGTAGCTAGGTTGTGTTTTAATTTTTTTTTTAAGTTCTTGCTGAATAAAATTTCAGATATGAGCTACTTTTTTGATTATGCGATATACAATTCCATATATTGCATTGTCGGAACAATTTTTCGCATTGAAAATTTAAATCAATAAAATGTACAAATAACAAAACTATTTATACTTAATTTGAAGATCAAATGCATTTTTAACATTGAATTAACAATGAACTTCATTTAATGTGGAGACCTATTGTTAATCCAGTAACCATAATGTCTTAAATCTATAAATAAAGTCAAAATAGCATTGCTTGAATTCTGTCCATTAAATTTCTCCCTCCTCCACCCACCCCCCCTCCCCCCAAAAAAAAAAAAAAAAGCCTAAATTCTTGGCTCCATCCCTGCCTATTATGTTTTTGGATACAATAAGTGCAGCGAAAGGAGGAAACACAAAACAAATAGTAACCATGTGGCATTGGTAGGTATGTTCCTTGTCATAAGAGATAGTTAACTTTGCAAGTTTAAAAATGTAGCAAGAATAGTTCAACAAGAAATAAAAGTGAAGTTTGAGAGTAACAAAACAATATCAGTGTCTCCAAAACAGAGATTCTTGGTCATAAACTCTCGAAGGTGGTGTTTGTGAATATGTTAAAGCTAATACAAAGCTGAGAAAGTGTAAGGGACTGGCTAAATCCACTCTACCCCATAGCATTTATTTTCTCTTTCCTATTTATTTTCCTTCAAGTTTGGGGCTTTGTTGTCAGCACCAACTTTTTTCTTGGCCAACCTTATCTATAAAAATGTACTGTTCCAACCGAATTCCATCCAAAACAATTGGGTAGGAAATAAGGTGAACATATATTTTTTAGTTATTAATTTTTGAATCATTTTAACAATTCAATTAAATAACGTGCACTAATTAACCAACACAAACACAATAAACTATAACACTAAAAAAAACACAATAAATTTGATAATACAAAAACAATTACAATAAAACACAACAAAAAAAATTATAAATATCAATATATCATAATTATTGCAAGGAATTTAGAGATTTACACACACGCGCGCCGCGCGCCATATACATATATATATATATATATATATATATATATTAAAATGTTAAAATATATATATATACGATATAAAAATTTGTGAGTACTCTGCGTTTCTAATCGATTTTTTATGAAATACTAAAAATTTTCTGTTGACCTACCCAATTTAAAATGTTAAAAAATATATATACGGTATAAAAATTTGTGAGTATTCTGTATTTCTAATCAATTTTTTATGAAATATCAAAAATTCTTCTATGGACCTACCCAATTTTTTGTGGTAGCCAATTAATAAGGTTGGTCAGATAGAATCGAAAAATACAAATAATCAGAAATTTAAACACCACTATCCCAAACCCTTTGCACCTTTACCTAACGAGACTGCAACTTTGTCCCTAGCAAGTGATGATCACTTTTCTTATTTAATAGGGGCTGCCCCCAAGACTTGCTTAAATACTTTGTTTAAAAGCATTACCAAATCTGAGTTCGTCTAGTTAAATTGGATGATAAAATTTTATTAGTTAATAGTTTGAGACTTTAACCAAGGATTAAAATTTTGATTTCAAATGGTCAAAATATTTTTGTTTTTTAAAGAAAACCAAAATAAATTAATGATTAAATTCAAAATTTCAATATTTCAAGCGTTTAGGAATCTCTAGATGTTTCAGACATGTTTAATATCAAAGGTTTGGGTCAAGAAACAACTGCCTTAAGAATTGATTTAACTACTCTTTTTTTAATAAATTATTTCTTTCCAAGTATTTTTCTTTTGTTGGCGAACAGATGACTTGAGGAGAGTTCTTTATGCTTACTTTGCATTTGCAAATGAGTTCTTCATTGTTGGCGTAGATCCCAAAGAGAGGCTCAGTAAGGAAAATGAGTTCTTTAATAAATATGGATGTGCATTAGGCAACTACGTCCTATGAAGCAAACCATCACATGATGCAGTATTCAGGAGTGTTACGTAGACCAAATCTTAAGAAAATTACATAATAAAATATAAGACATTTCAAATTTCAAAAATTTAAAAATAATTTTTACTTTTTTGAGATTCAGACCGTTTTTAAAAAAAATTACTACTGATGCAATTGCTAAAAATAATCCGAGCTTGAAATTAAAAAAGACAAAAAGTTATTGAAAACTAAAGATTTTATAAGTTTTAAAAATAATAAAAATGTGATTTATCATCGGTCTTTGCAAAATTAGGATAAGAAATCTTGCTTCTTCTTTAACGTGCAGTACTTGTTAAAATAAAGGGAGAATGAGTGGATTGATCTTTTATGTTGTAAAAACACTTGAAAGAGAGAGAGCAAGAGGAGTGTTTAATGTTACCTTGGTTTTCTCATGTGAATTGTGTAATTTACAATAGCCCTACACTCACACAGAGAGAGAGAGAGAGAGAGAGAGAGAGAGTAACTATCAGGAAGGAAGTGATTGAAACGAAAAATAAAGTTTAGAGAATAAATTGAGACCAATTTAAAACAAATGCAAAGTTCAAAAACTATTTATGTTTTTTTTTTTCCGATGTATTTCTATAACCAAAACGGGCAAATGGCGTTTGGTACTAGAAGCATGAGTAAAAATTGTGAGGATCCAAATCCTGTTGTCATCATGGAGACACAGTTTTCACTCCAAATCCAGATCACCAAAGAAAATCTAGGGCACTCATGAACTGTTTCTCATATTGCATCACATTATTTATTGAATCTACATTACAAGATGCTTTTACATAGTAAAAAGCTTCTCATATTGCATCACATTATTTGTTAAATCTTCATTGCAAGATGCTTTCACATAGAAATGGCATACAAACCGGAAACTAGAAACCATAGACAACACCATATAGTAGCATAATTGCTTGTAAAAAAAAAATGCACACGATTCACTGGGATGTCCCTAAATTCTAAGAAAACCGCAGTCAAAACCTACATACACTTTATTTAAGGAGATGCAGTGTGAGCGCTCTGTGTAATCCCCGGCTCATAACGTAGATGACTATGAAGCATGGCATGTTGTGTCTCTAGAACTCCCTTGCGGTGGCACCTGCAGACAAGACATAGAATTTACTTTTGTGACCTAATATTTGCGACCTAATAACTTAGGTGACGAGGAAGACAATGACATTAACCTAAAATCTCAGTTACTTTTAATTCGCAGGACGTGGAAAAACTTGGAAGTAGGTTTGGGTGGAAGTTAGAAAAATAACAAGAAGTGCGGCCAAAAATGCCAAAGCAGCCCAGGGAGTGCTAAAATGGTCATGCAGGACTTGAGCAACCCATGTTTTCGTCTTGCTATTGTAGTGCTCTTCAATTTGATCACAAACATCTTCAATGATATCAAAGTTTGGAAATAAGGCAGCAGAAGCCATGGTGTTGAAGAATTTTGCAACTCCCTCATTAGAATCTAGGAAGTTATGAATTATGTTATGTGATCGCAGCTCAATTACATCGTCGGCTCCACTGATGAGTGAATTCATGAAATAAATATAACTGCAAACCTCCCAGCCAGTTGATGTGTTAGGAGCCAATTCATGGGCCATCATGTTCAAGAAGAGCACCTTGCTTTGATGGCTAGATACAATAGGAGGAAGCGTCAGCTGTCCATAGCCAAACGAAGAAGTGAAGCTGATGTCTGTTAAACATGATATACCGCTAGACTTGAAATGTATTCCTTTTGCTTTTAGTTCGATTGCTGAACCGAATGAGTGATCGGAAGCCTTACTAGTAGTACTACTTGAGTTTTTCCCCTTTTTTCTTCCACCATTTGCCTTGTGGTGGCTATGGCTGAGATATTTTTGTCGCACAAGTTCGAGGAGGTGAAGGGGCTGCCTCTGCTCATCCTGACTTTCCTGTTTCTTATTCGCCATTCGAGGGGCATAACTGGAATGGAGGAAATTGTCAATCATCTTTTCTCCTTCATCGTCCGGGTATCGTATGCTCATTAAGGCCTGGATAACTAGGAATGGAAGTTGGTTCTCCAACAAGATGAAGTCCCCGAAAAACATACCCAGTCTTCCAAAGCCCAGGGTGTTACCCAACATAGTCACAACCGACATTCCTCGATTCATATAGTTGTCGATATAACCCAATAGGAAACACCCATCGAGGAACATCATACGCGCAAATGCCACATCATCGTAGGCGTCTGTGGAGCCCGGAAGGTAGCAGTCCCTAATTATCACAACAAAATCTACGATTTTTTTATAGAACTCTTGGGGATCCATGCCGCTGTGGTTGATGAAGTCGAATGCCACTGCAGCCTTCAACTTCTCCGCTTCTTGTAGCTCGGGCTTCCCATGGTGATAGGGACCAAATGAAACAATTTTCGGATCATAAAATCCCTCAAACTCCTTGTTATTTCTTAGTTCTGGTATAACCTTCTGTAACTTTTTCTGTTCGAACGGATTGGCTTCGCTCTTACGGCCACCGTCTTCCATCACCGAGATTATCCACTTATCAGCATCTTCGATTTCAACCTGTACCTTAGGTACCGTTGCAGGAAGGATCACATCACTGTTTCCTCCTGATTGAATGATCCATTGCCCAACCCCGCCCTGATTGTTGCTTGACTCAATTTCTGGCATTGTTCGACACAGGTAGGTAGACAACTAAGTGAAGGTAAAAGTTCACTACCACACAGTCTGGATTTTTTCCATTTACATAACCATCTGACAAACTTTAGTGCAGATCAAGATGACCTGTTCCAGAAGGGTGTTGGGCATCCATCTTTTTCTCCATGGTAAGTTTGGTATATTCATATTTAATTCTTACTTTCAGAAAGCAAAGTAATTGATCCTTTTCCACTTTCCATTTGTATGTCCTGTAATACACACATTCTGTGACATGCATGTCACGTTGTTCCTTCACGGACTTCCAGTCCGTTGGATTGTCTTTTATATCAGAACTTAGATTTATCTATGTCTTAATGGAAGTTGTAAGATTACTAACTAATGTCGG